GATTAGTTTTTGAAAGACACCACATAATTGAAAACTTTTCTTATTTAGCATAAAATAATCAAAACCTAGATAGATTCCTTTAATTGAACTGTTAGAAACATACAAAGAATTCAAAGACGATGTTGCTGTCTGGGTAGATGTAGTCAAAGGAGACGGTGCCAGATTGCTTGAGATTAACAGCATACATCAGAGTTGCTGTGCACTCATCTGTGTTGGAGGCAATATAATCTCCCTTAGGAATCCATGTTGACCTGGAAAAGAAGAGATAGCCCAGCAGTTCTGAGAGTACTACTGCACAGCACCAGCAAACAGACATTCCCAAGTTATTACAAAGGAGTTACATTTGGACCAAGGAAGCTACAAATCCAAATGCCAGATGTTGTATCTTCACAGAAAAGGGAATAATATTTATGAATGATTAATGTAGCTAGTCTGTACCACGTTTAATTTGGTCTTGAAAGCAAGGTTACTGTACTTAAGAAAAAAAGCAGTACAGAACAGTAGTTGAGCTCTCTTGACATTATATTAATTTCATAATGATTAGCATATACCCTGTATATCGCTCATTTTCACTAGGTGCTGGGCCATAATATGGATGAAGCCACATGAAGGCCAAAGCACACAGATTCTGGCATAAGATTGCAAAAGAAAAAAAAAGCTTGTATTATGTACAATGTAATATAACAATGAAAAAGGAATGTGGGTACCTTTATTTATGTTTAACTGATTATATTAGAAAGCCTTTGTCCAATCTGAAGTATGGCAAATGCAGATGTCTGCATGCTTAGAAGGCACAAAGTTGAAGAGAACTGCTTTAAAACATTTACTGGACCAGTTTCTCACATAAATTCAGTTAGGTAAACTACTACTGAGAGCCATATTTAGTGTAGTGATGTGTAGTGTAGTGATTAAGGCACCAGGCTAGAAGCCAGGAGACTGTGAGTTCTCGTCCTGCCTTAGGCACAAAGCCAGCTGAGTGATCTTGGGCCAGTCAGATTGACTCTCAGTCCTAGGAAGCAGGCAATGGCAAGTCACTTCTGAAATCCTACCAAGAAAACTGCAGAGACTAGTCCAGGCAGCCACCAGGAATCAACACTGACTCAAAGGCACACAAAAAAAGAAGTCACTTTTACTCCCACTAATATTCCCATGTTACATATTAGGAACTAAAGTTTAGAGACAACAACATACTCATAGCTAACTACACTATAAAGATTTAACTTGGATCCAAGTCTTTTAGGTGAGAGTTCTAGGGGCTGATGCAGAAACAGGAAATATGACTCAAGAAGCTTTTGGTAAACACAGTTAAATCCAGTGTCATTTAAGAACATTGCCAAACAGTATTGGAAATAATGTGGCTGAGAAAAAGAAATTTGAAATTACTTTCAAGTACCTTCAAAGCCACATGGAAGATTGAGAAGGGGAGGCAATTATAATTACATTGGGATCCAGACTTTAAAGACGATTTTTAAAAAATGTATGGAAGATTCTGATGGATGCTGGGATTTTTACTTTAATGAATGATAATAAGTATTTATAATTCCTTATATTAAAGGACAAATATTTGTCTTTTGCCACCCCCTGACCATATTTACAACTATCTGGCCAGTGGCATTTTCAGCTTCAGAACATCTGAACTATTAGTAGTGATTACCAAATCTTATGGGACTAAAAAACTCACAATTAGTCTTTATAAATACTTGAGGTCAATAAATCAATGTATTACTTATTATCTATTTATTTATATCTAATTAATTATCTAAACATATTGACAATAGTAAAAAGGGGGTAGGAGAGTAAGAAAAAAAATTCTCTAAGCATTCATTCTTTCACCATCCACAATCAAGAATATCAAGCAATTTCTCCTTCTGGTTTCAATTCCTTGAGTACAGCAACCAGGACCATTTTTTAAAAAAGCATTTATTATCAAGAAATGCCATCCAGCTGAAAGGGAATACTTTATAAGGAAGTGTTTTCTCTCATTCTTACATTCTAAAGCTAATGTATTTCTCAAGGGATTCACTTTAACTTTAGTGAAATTATATTATTTAGAGCAGATTCCAGAATTTGTGATAATGAGGTGATGAGAAATAATATCACAAAGTTTAAGAACCCATGTCTTATTGCCATTGTTGTGATTTGCTGTTTTTGTCTTTGTTGAAACACTACAGTTTTTGTTTCATTTAATTTTATTAAATAAATAAACATTTAAATATATTTATAATTTAAATAAATTGTTTAATAATAAATATTTATTATTCACTCAAAATAATAAAAGTATTTATTATTTATTTAAAATAATAAAATGATAAATATTTATTATTTATTTAGAATATAATTAAATATATGTGTTATAAATAAATAAATAAATTCTTTTGTTTATTTAATTTTAATTATTTTTTGAACTGGCATGTGCTCACTTTGCTTCAGTTTTCCATTTTTTTCACTACTGCTTTCAAGTAAAGTTTGAACAAAATCTAGAATCTAATCCAAAGCAGAAGAATGGCAAAGAATCGATGCACTGGTGCTAATCCAAAAAGAAGACAAGGTTATTCAGAGCTCCAACATTTAGAGACAAATTAGCTGCACTGTTTCATAAACATTCCTACTCAAAATGCTGCCAAGATTTTAGAATATGCAGCCTTAAGGTCACTGACTAGCATATAGGTTGACTTTCAAGACAGACATGTTCCAGCATTAATAACAACATGTTCACTCACGTGGTGCAGTTTCCCAAGGACTCTGTGAAGCTGTAATCAATTTCAAGATTGGTTGCTATGCTGGCAAATCCATGGGGCAAGTCATCCCATTCATCGAACCTGACACCAGTCCCCAGAGAATACGTGCCCTCTGCACATGGCTTGCATGACTGATCTTTCATATTCAAGAATTCACCTGCTTTGCAGGAAAATGCTGAAATATAGAAAATCACCAAAACAAAATCAGGGCAAAAGATGAATCCAGACCAATATAAGCAGCCTCAACGCATCTGTTACACTCAGACTATATAGAATAATACCTTCTTACAAGACCTTTGAGCTATGTTTAACATCTGATAAGACTAAAATGTTTAGATAAAATGAAAGAACTGTTTGCTAGCTATATTTTACCTTTTCTTTGCATACAAGTATACATTAGGAGTCCTAGCACCAAAACACAACTGAAATAAAGCTTACAAAAAAAAAGAGAATTAAAGAGACTAAGGGCTCTTCTACATGACTTGCTAACTGTGGGCAGGCAGTGGTTCAGCTGTTACATTGAGAGGATCAGTCTCAGCTGATCCCTATCTCAGTGGGGAAGTAGCCTGTACCTGTGTTTTCATGCTGCGCCTCAAAAGTGGTGTTTTCTGACTTACATTTGCTCAAGCCTGGCCATGTGGTTTCTTTGCTATGCTTTAATTCAATCTAGAGAAAGTTTGTGCTCCAATTGGTCACTGTACAGAGCTGCCAACATGCTTTCTCCCCTTTGGTCACTGGTTGTTGCCCTCCATGACTATTTTCAGGGTTGTCTGAGGTGAGGAATACATCCAACTAAAGCAGAACCCTGCTGGGCTATGCAAGGCAGGTCTCAGGCATTATGTGGGTTCCTTCTATATCCCCAATAACTGGTGCTTTGGAGAAATGGTTCACCTGTTCCTACCTGCACATGCAACCAGCATATGAATCATTAGGGCAAGTAATGGCTGGTCAGAGAGGGCTGGTGAACTACTACATTTTCCCTACCCAACTGGTGGACAATAAAATTGACAAGATTTTGTTTGTTTCCCCTTCCAGCCCAAATGACAGGAAGAATATTAAAACTGTTGGAGTTTCCAACACTCCCCCCCCCCAATCTCCATGGTGGACACACTGGATGAAACGTCAGGTATGAGGGGGAATCAAGTTGGGGGGTGTCATTCAAAAGGTCTATCCAGGGAAACCCATGTCCTCAAATATCCATGCACAGAATGGCAACTGGTGCTTGCTTTCCTGGGATGGGTGGGAAGAGTAAGGAAGCAGGGGAATCCACTAATTAGAGCTGTGATAAGTGCTGTCTGGCCAGTATATCTGGAGATCATTGCCAAAGCTGAATAACATAAGAATAGCAATTTCTTAGGCTGACTTTCTTTCCAACCAGTGTGTGCATGGGAGATAAGCAGCTTAAAGCTGCCATGCAGAAGAGCTCTAAAGCTGCAACTCAATGCATCAATGTGGGATGATTATGGCCCTTTGCTGCTGTTTCTGCGGTTTGTGTAACCTTGCTCCATTCTTTCCCACACCCAACAGAATAGTTATCAGTTGGGCAGTGGAGAAAATACCACCATCCTATACTTTCATTAGTCCTAGGACACCAATTTGGGTTGGATCACTTGGACTGGGGAACTGAGAATGAATTTGCTTTACCCATAAGGAATCCTCCTGTTCTCTGGAGGAGAAGATGTAATTTCTACTGTCCCAGTGGTCCTGATGTAGATGTGGTCAGGAGCCTTTGCATACATTTACATGTTCAGGCTCCAATCCACCCACCAGCACCACCAAAAAGGCTGCACACCTAGGAATAAGTTCCATTAAAGCAGTGGGCCTTTTTAAAAAGTAGATATCAAATTGCACGGTAAGACCTTGTTTTACACAAAGACAAGCTATGTTTTCCCACTTATATGAATAAACTACGTATAATGAACCTCATGGTCACATATTTCAGCCCTTCTTCTCTGCTTCCACTATCATGGGTTAAACATCACACCAAGGCATGTTTTGTTTCAACTATGATTTGCTAGATAAGCCAAAAGGGCTAAATTCACATAACTATAAACTCATAAATCATAGCGGCTGAATTCACACATATTAACCCAACCAAATTATACAATAACAAAACTTAGCAGAGTGGAAAGAGCAGAAATTTTCACTCCTAATTTTAAACAACCTAGAGCAGTGTTTCTTAAAGTGTGGTCCTAGGGGGTCCACAAAATCAAAATTATTTGTCAGCCTATGCTGAAAAATAATACAATATTAAAATCCCATCAAACAATCGTGATAAGTGGTAGTGGCAGCAAATGCATTAATTTTAAATTTTAATATGGTAAATATAGATAAATACAACTCATACAAACAAAAACTTTTCAGGGGTCCTCCATAATTTTTAAAAGTGGGAAGGAGTCCTGAGAGAAAAAAGTTTAAGAAATACTGATCTAAGTTCAGAAACAAGGATTCAAGTAAACAAACCAGAATTAGAAATATTGGCATGATTTTTGCTTTTTTCAAAGCAAAAAATTGATAGCTTCTCCCATGACATATAAAAAGAAGAGTTCACAAGCCTGTGATTTCCTATGTTTTAGTTATGTAGCAAGAAGTCATAATTAGTTTTTGCATTTGGATCAGGCCTAGAAGAATAGCTGGGGAAAAACTTTGGAGCTTATATCCATAGTAGTTGACTGAGCTGGGGCAAGTTGGCTTCTAGATAGTAATGAAAAACCATCAAGAGGGCATCAAGTGGCTCTCCTAGGAATGAAAAATCTCTGCAAATAAACCACTCTCCAAACTGAATTTTTAATGGCAAAGGATATGGCATAATGGAAGGATGCATGTTCAGATCTGGATTTTTCTTCTCTCTTGCTGGTTTAAACTGGATGTACATTTTAAATTTCTCCATAATTATAATGATTTCAACTTTGTAGGAATTCCTGAGTAAACATCATAGATACAATCCTAAGCAGTTTATTTTCATATTTCAATGCACAGTAGAATCTTACTAATCAAATGGCTTGTATGAACTTCTAATCAAGATCTTAATGATTATCATCAATTGCAGTTGGCTTTGTTTTTGCCTCTCAGATGAATAAAGAGTTAGTCAAGGCTACATGTATGTGTGCAATTTCTACTATAATTAATGGGGAAAATAACATTTTAAGAACCCTTTAACATATCCTGCTGAACCTTAATTTGTAGATTAAAATGGCCTTTTGTTCCAAATATTATTTATGGTATTCTTTCAGGAAAAAAAAGAGAGTAAACCATGTCAATGAAATTATGGGAAGAAGGAATTACAGTTCTTTCTATTACCAAGGGATTAGAAAATCAAAATAAAACTGTGTTATTGGCTCAAAGTCATTGGGCTGTAATACATTCTAAATGCTTCCAATGAAACCTTTCTTTTATGGTCAATTTAATCTTCATGTAATTCTTTTTCTTGTCAGTGAAAGAAATGAATTACTGTGATCCAGAAAATGACACAAGAAGGATTATCTTCATACATCCCATGAAAATATTTTTTCTCATAGAGACCATGAAAGACTTATTTGATGAGTTAGAGGAAAGCCAGATTTTAGGGGAAATTTGTGCCCATCCTTCCAATGGAAGTATAACTGTGCATACTCATGAATATACAAGTAACAGATAGTAATACTGTGTGTGTAGGGGTGTGAGAAGGAGGGAGGGAGGGAGGAAAATATGGGTGATATGTTTGTGTAAAGGGATTCTCTTCTTGGCTACACTCATCACCAGTGCAGGCTCTGCCCACCATGATCTCTCAGCCATTAGCCCATATAATTTTAGGGACACAGCCATCCTTATCATATGACATAATTTGCCCTAACTTGAATTTTCAGGATAAGTAATGATCCTCCTTTCCTGATGTTTCCTCAAGAATTACACACACACACACACACACACACACACACAGACAAGGTTTGCAGGAATGGAGAGGTGAAAACAAAACAATTCTGTGCCATGCCATAGCTCTGTTCTTTTGTAAAAAAGGTTACAGATATCAGGAATTCCAATCAGGTTTATCTTTTGTTGTTCAGCAGAAGAAAAGGGTCTCTCTGTGACTATAGCACATCTATAATATTACAGATGTCAAGGCCCTGTGCATGCAAATGCAAGTACATAGTAACTTACTGAAATTATGGGAACAACAACAACAGAAAACAGTGCGGTGATGCTCCCTCTATCTAAATGGAGATGGAACTTTGGGCATCCTGCTTCTTTTTATACCATTTTCCTATGAACTTTAAAAAGAGAAAAAGAGAGCAACAGTATGATCTAAAGATGGATGGAAAGGTCCCTCTGATATTCTGTGTTATTGAAATATTTATGCCCTACCCTTCTTTATAAAATTCAGAGTTAACAGTGCCTGAGTAGGATATTATATTTAATATGCTAGCTCCAGAAACCCTTTAGGCATGTGACTGATAGAATGATGGACTAGAAAAAATAATTATGCTTGGCAAGATTGAGGGAAGTAGAAGAAGGGGAAGACAGGGGAAGATAAAATAGATGGAAAGGATCAAAGAAATGACTGTAATATCCTTGGCAGATCTATGTTACTACTACAGACAGCTCAAGATGGAAACTAGTTAAAGCAACTTGATGGCACTTTATAAAGTAATTAGCTCTTAGAAATGGGATGTACATTTCTAAAGATGCTATCATGTTTCTAACTATTGATAGTAATATTGGAAATAACAGTGTGTATGGAATTTAAGAAAAGGACAAAAAAGCTATATATAAATACACGGGTTTCTTCAACTTTTATTGTCCCCTTTGGCATAATTGTGCTGTAAGTAGTTCTGTATCACTGGAATAAAGATGAATTTAGTGGTAAATTTGAATCAAAATGACACTTCTAAAGTTGTATTTTCTTGTTGTGGGTGAGTATGGAATGTCTCTTCTAATAGAGTTTGCCTTTATCAATTTTTAGAAGCACAAGCATAAAAACCTTACAACAGTTCTTTAAACATATCCGTTGTCTGCTGGATTATGGACAAATTAATTAACGTCTAATGTAGTCCTAATTACAGTTTATACACAAATTAAGGATTCTTTACTGATGTGTCAGCCTTGTATTTA